TAATCTCTTCTGAGGTCAAACCAGTCTGCTCTTTATCCGTTGGTTATACACCATAGCATGCTCGGCCACGCATGGTCTTCCTGCCACAGATACCTGACATTTTGTCTAGGGTGACCACGATTTCGCCGGCCGCGTTTGTCAAATGCACTGTGCCTGTCGCTCTGCCTTGTCACTTTAAGGAATTACAAATGACGATGTTTTTAAGCATACAGAGCTAAGCTAGGCATGCTGAACACCGTGTCGAAGATCCGAGGGCAGGTGACAAGCACCGGCTACCCCCAGACAGAAGGCCTGCTGGGCGGCTGCATGCTCAAGTACGGGAAGGAGCTTGGGGACGGCTCCACCTTCGGTGAGTGTCACACGTGCTGAGCACGTGGCCATAGTTGAGTGTCGCTGATGCACAAAGCCTTTATTTAACAACCCGTATTACTTTTTCCCATATTACCGAAGCATAGTGCGTATCCACTACAGGAAGCTGAGAAAACCTCGGTAAGCAAAATAGTGAAAAAGATACCACCACCCAAAATCACATATCCAGTTGATAGGTCCAGTGACACCCTGTTATGTGTCCTTTATACTTTGTTTATTCTTCCACGTGGAGTTATAGTATGCGTATATACCCGTAGGCCGCTCGGTAACCTCTGTATTCCCGTTGACTGTGTCATGATCCACGTCATAAAATCGTTCATTTTCTACAGTATTGTTTTTAAAGGCTGCATAATATTCCATGTATCATAACAAGTCCCATTTACTGGGGATTTAGGTTTTTTTTTTTTTTAATGTTAAAAAAAATGTCTTTCTATCTATAGTAACCATTTTTACAGGCAAATCTTTGGTACCCAAGATTATGTCCTTAGATGAGATGCCTAGCAGTGAAATGGTGGGGTCAAGAGTGTGCCTATTTTTCAAGCTTTTGGAGCATATTGAGAAAGGCTACACTACTTGGACACCCCCAGCTTGGAGTGGGGGAGAATATTTTTTTCTCGGTATAGACCATAACTCTGGGCATTATCTTTTTAGTTTTAAATAAAACTAAACTTTTAAATAACTGGTTGTTTGATACATAGTATATAAAACTTTAAAAAAAACTTTTAAATAACTGGTTGTTTGATACATAGTATATAAAACTGTTTAAAAAAAAACTTTTAAATAACTGGTTATTTGATACATAGTATATAAAACTGTTATTTTGGTGCTATTTTAACTTCAGTTTTTGGATTATATACCAGGTAGATTTTTTTCACGTGTGTCATCATTTTTGCAAATTGTATATTAGCATCTTTTGCCTATTTTTCTATTAAGGTGTCCATTTTTTTTTTCTTACTGGTTTATGAGCTCTTTCAGTGGTCAGAATATTTGCTCTATGCCTAGGTTGGTGAAGTTTCACCCCAGGTAGGCATTTACCCTCTGACATTGTAGGTGTGGGTCATTGTAATGGAGAAAGATTTTTGCATTTGATGTAGTGGGGGTTCCCTGGGTTTCCTTAATGGTTTATTTATACTAATTCTGTACCTGTTTATTTATACTTTCTTTTCATGCATATGTTTTCTTTAAATTTCCAAGCGTCTGAGTTTAAAGAATGACCACTGTGCAAGAGGGTTCTCATTTTTTTTTCCCTCACAAATAAATAGATAGTTGTCCTAATGTATTCAGCCTTTCTCTACTGATTTGAAATAACTTTTTTTGTTATAGGGTAAATTATTGTATTTTAAATTTGTTTCTGGCCTTTCCTGTTTTCTTGATCTATACTGTTATGATCTAGTGTCATGTGTTCTAAATATTGCAATTTAAAAATACATTTTAATATATTTAATTAAATTTCCCCTAGATATTGTGAAAATTTTATTTCACTCACCTGTTTTGTTTTGTCAGATAAAACTTAGAGTCATTTTAAGTACCGTCTACTGAAAAATAAACAGCTCGTTGAATTTTGATTGAGATTGCTTTAAATTAATAAATTAAATTGGAGTCAAATGTAGTTAAATATATTAAGTCTTCCAGGAGAATTTGGTACGTTTGCTATTTCTGCAATGGTAACAAGGCAGGATATGGAAATTGAGAATTCAGATATTTGGCTGTAGTAATTAATCTAGGGAATTGTGGGGAAAAAAATCTTCAGAAAATTTAAAAAAATCCCCAAACATTAATAGTCACAGAGGGTACCAATATCCGCCAGAGCAACATAATGTGGATTTTATTTTTATCCGTGTGAGTGGGAGAAAGGTGGCCTATTTCTTACCCTGGAGGCAGACCTTCTGGAGGGCAGGTGAGGCTGCCAGGTGGGCCCTGACAGGTACATTCCTGCCATGTACCTGACCGCGGTGACAGGACATGGGGTTTAAGAGGACAGACAACTTGGTAGCTTCTCAGATGCCCAGCAACTTAAGGGAACTTGGGATAAGGAGGAGAGCTGGCTTCAGAAGGGCACCAGAAACAGACAGCTCACATGCGGTTCCCAGGGAGGGGCTGTACCGTTGTCGGCCGCTTGGTCCTTGGGGCCACGTCGGGGGCGGGGTGCCTTCTTAAAGCGCAGAAACTTCGGCATGGAGGCTGAGCCCCACGCCCTCGTGGGATTGGAAGTGCTCATCTCGGGCAGGGAGCGAGAATGTCCACTCCATGCAGGTGACAGCCAATATTCAGAATGTCGTCTTTGGAGTCTTCATAGAAATGTACTTGGGGCTGTTTCTGTCAAAGCTACATTAACTGACATGCTGGGGCATGGGTGCTGGTGGTGACAGGCTGGCAGGGCCAGAAGCCACACCCTCCATTTCGGACTAATTGGGCAGGAAAGCATCCCCAGGCTAGGAAAAGATGTCCCAGCTTCATCTCGGAATGATTTAGAACCAGACTCCGAAGAGTCAGTGAAGGAAATGTAGCATTCCAGGAGGAACGAAGCTGCCACTGGGTGAGGAAGGGGTCCCGGCCAGCTGAATTTTAGAGTAACATTTTCCACTTATGTTTTGCAAGCTCCTGGAACATACACTATCTAGTTTATTCCTTAATAAAAAAGGGCAATAGTACTGGTGAATCAGCGGCGCATGCCCTTGACCAACAGGTGAAACTGCCTGAAGGTCAGAATTTGCTAGAAATGGAAATTCTCGGGCTGGACTTCAAGGTCTTTCAAGCCTGAGGTCGAATGTGTGCCATTCCCATGGAACAAAATAAAAAGGTAGACCCCGAGCTCCACCTTCGTTTTACAGACTCAATTTCGGAAACTCCCGATACAGAGAAAACAGTTCAGTCTAGGGCCACATGTCCCAGAGGCGTTTTCTAGAGAACCTGCCGCCTCCTTGTGCACAGCTACCACAATGCCCGCTTGCCAATTCCTGTGGATTAGCTGGCGTCCAGATGCCAGGGCGTGATGCAGCCAAAGCGGGAGCAGAGCCCGCCCGCCCTGCTGAAGCGTGTCCCTTGCCAGGCCGCCTTTGACATCAGAGAGGATAGGGGGCCTCAGAACCCACGGACACAGGGAGTGGCCTCAGGAGCTCTGGCAGGAAAGGCTGAGAGGAGATGCTGTTCATTTGTTTCTATCGTAATCGTTATTGCTTGGTGCTTAGCCCGACGACTCAACCCTTTCATTGTTTACAAGGAGGGACTTTGTTCTCGATTCTAAGAAACCTTTGGTGCCAGGTCTCGGCAGTACCAGTTTTTAAAATGGAGCTCTATCCCCATCTAGTGGTCAAAGTGCTAAGTGCCTGGGTCTGTCCGCCTCAGAGTTTTTATTTTTTATGGAGTGAAGAAAGTGAAGAATGTAGAGAGGAAAATGTAGAAAATAGGAAGACCTTTCTTTTTCGTTTTATTTTTGTTTTTCATTTTTTCCCCTTGAGTCAAGATTCAAAGGTCCCTTAGCGAGGACCGTGTTACACCATCACCCACAAACTTTTGGGACAGAAATAAATGTAACTCACTGTCAACCTTAGAGTACTGTGATAGAGAATCTTTCTTTATGATTTCTATCCCAGGCAATGCGCTGATAGAAGTTGGTGAATCCATGAAGCTAATGGCCGAGGTGAAAGACTCTCTGGATATTAACGTAAAGCAAACTTTCATTGATCCACTTCAGTTACTGCAAGACAAAGATTTAAAAGAGATTGGGGTGAGCGTTCTCAGCTGTAAGTCTACCTGTTGCTGCTTAAGGTGGTGTTTATGTTTGAGATAGGTAGGCTGTTTCTGTAGGGAGCAGCGGAAGCATCGTCTGACCGTGGGCAGTAGACATGCCACCCGATTTGTTCCCCTGGCTCCCTGGGGGAAGCGTCCCAGGGTCACGTAGCCCTTTATCCTGTAGCTCACTGAAGCCAGTGAGAAGCTGGGTAAAGATGTGTGTTTCTACAGCCATTTGTCACAGAAAACGATTCAATACCTGTTTGAGGATTTTCGATCATCAGAATCATGCTATATTAGTTGTCTCTTTGGCTACATTGCACGAGCGGTCGTTATTTTCCGTGATTTCTCAAGGAAATCAGGTTCTAGGAGTCAACACTTTCTATTTGGAAAACTATTAAAAATGGCCTTCCAGAGCGTACACCTGGAGGGCGTGTGTATCGTATTCGTTGAGAGCATTTATTCTGCCCGTTCTGTAATTGTTGGGGAACTTTATGGAACATGCAGAATATTCTAGAGGATACCGGAAGTTTGTTTTTATAACCCACCTCTTAATGAGGAGTTGACCATAGTAGGAAAAGAAATATCTCTATTTTTGGTATGGTTAATGTAGTTGGAAACGATCTGACGGTAACAGAGCCATAGTGAGGGGTCCTAGGAAGAACTTTGGAAAATGGAATGAGTGCTGATACTGTGTCCTTACGTGCCATATAGACACTCATCCATCCATCCATCCATCCATCCATTCATCCATCCATCATCCATCCATCCATTCATCCATCCATCATCCATCCATCCATCCATCCATCCATCATCCTCCATCCATCCATCAATCCATCCATCCATTTGTCATCCATCCATCCATCCATCCATCCACTATCCATCCATCCATCATCCATTCATCCCTCCATCATCCATCCCATCATCCATCATCCATCATCCATCATCCATCATCCATCATCCATCATCCATCATCCATCATCCATCATCCATCATCCATCATCCATCATCCATCATCCATCATCCATCATCCATCATCCATCATCCATCATCCATCATCCATCATCCATCATCCATCATCCATCATCCATCATCCATCATCCATCATCCATCATCCATCATCCATCATCCATCATCCATCATCCATCATCCATCATCCATCATCCATCATCCATCATCCATCATCCATCATCCATCATCCATCATCCATCATCCATCATCCATCATCCATCATCCATCATCCATCATCCATCATCCATCATCCATCATCCATCATCCATCATCCATCATCCATCATCCATCATCCATCATCCATCATCCATCATCCATCATCCATCATCCATCATCCATCATCCATCATCCATCATCCATCATCCATCATCCATCATCCATCATCCATCATCCATCATCCATCATCCATCATCCATCATCCATCATCCATCATCCATCATCCATCATCCATCATCCATCATCCATCATCCATCATCCATCATCCATCATCCATCATCCATCATCCATCATCCATCATCCATCATCCATCATCCATCATCCATCATCCATCATCCATCATCCATCATCCATCATCCATCATCCATCATCCATCATCCATCATCCATCATCCATCATCCATCATCCATCATCCATCATCCATCATCCATCACTCATCCATCCATCCATCATTATCCATCATCCATCATCCATCATCCATCCATCCATCCATCCATCCATCATCCATCCATCCATCACCATCCATCCATCCATCCATCATCCATCCATCCATCCTTCCATCCATCCTTCCATCCATCCATCCATCCATCCATCATCCATCCATCCATCATCCATCCATCCATCCATCCATCTATTCATCCCACAAATATTACTTGAGGACCTGCAGCGAAGGGAGCCTCTAATCGATGCTGAGGTGCCCACACCCAAAATGTAAGATGGCTTCCTGTCCTCAAAAATGTAGGCTGAGAAAAAGCCACAAACGACCGTTTTCATAGGCACGACCAAGCTTTCTTCGTGCCGAGCTTTGAGCACGCCGTCCCTGACGGTCTCCTCTGTCCCTTAGCACCACCTGAAAAAGCTGGAAGGCCGTCGCCTGGATTACGACTATAAAAAGAAGCGAGTAGGTAAGATACCAGACGAAGAAGTCAGACAAGCGGTAGAAAAGTTTGAAGAGTCAAAGGAGTTGGCTGAAAGAAGCATGTTTAATTTTTTAGAAAATGATGTAAGTATTTAAACCAATCAGGAGACTTTCCCGTGACCGAGAATGTTGACTCTATGTCTTCTGCATGGGGCGAGGCTCTGGAGCCTTAGTTGTTAGAAAAGCTTCTGGAAGTTTCTGTAACCATTCTCCCCTGCTTCGGAGAATAGCTCCAGACATCGGGCAGGTCCCAGCTGAAATCTCAGATCTCGGGACGTCCAGCTTGTCCTGGGATCGCTTCTGCATTGTGCCGGGGTTGGTCCCCGGGGAGGTGGGGCGTCCCAGGAATGACACAGTCTCCCGGCCTCTGAATTGGAGGCTGCAGCATTTGTGATGTGGCAGATCAGAAGGCCCGTGGCCTGTGAGCCTGCCTTGGGGGCTTCCAGAAGTGAGCTTAGTGAGTCTCTCATGTCAGCAGTAGCCCCTCAGGTGTGTGGGGAACTGGGGACACTCTCAGGCCTCTGCTGGGCACGTCTCTGCCTCAGATTGTGCTACCAAGGGCTTCTGGGATTTCTGTGGGCCACAGGTCTTATTTTTCTTTCTTTCTTTTTTTTTTTTATTTACTGTAATTGGGTCACAGATTTCTCAAGTGTCCAGAATCATGGGAAGGAGAGATGCCACAGTCTTTATAGTTCGTTCCTTTCTGATGTATGCCTCAGAGAGAAGATTTTGTGCCCATGCCACCAACCCCATCCAAGGGCCTGGCGACGCTTTGCCCTGGCTTCCCTCTTACCTGAGGACAGCTCAGTTTCCTTAGTCTCTTGTCATGATTTAGTTGGAAAGGACCCATAGAGACACCTCCCTAAGGAAGCAGTCCATTCGATCCATGTTGGCTTCCCTCGTAATTGGAAAAGCTTGAGCCCTCTGTGTTCCGACCTACGACCCTTATAGCCGCAGAATCTCCTGAGACTGTCGCCTCGTTGGAACGACAGGCGTTTTATTGAGTTACATCAGATTTTATAATCACAGCTAAATCTGAACGTGTTTTGCCAGCATCCCTAGCTCTATCCCGGGACCTGTGTGGTCGCCACCAGGGCCCCAAGTTTAGACGAGATGAAATGGATGGGAGCCGAGGCAAACGCAGGGTCTTTGTGGCTGGTGTCCTTTCTCTGGACGATCCAGGTTCTGGCCTCTCTGGAGTAATTTGTCACTTCCGCTGCAGGTAGAACAAGTCAGCCAGTTGGCCGTGTTTATAGAGGCAGCTTTAGACTATCACAGACAGTCCACGGAGATTCTGCAGGAGCTCCAGAAAAAGCTGCAGACACGGTAAGAGTGCCTGGTGCATTCGAGGCCAGGGCTGTGGGGTAAAAAGTCATCCTTAAGAGTGACACGATCTTCAGAAAGTATGTCGATATCTGGAAAAAGACGTGGTTTTACTTCACCGCTGCAGATATCAGGCCGCGTTCATGATTGCTCTGAGAGCTGGAAATGGTGTCCGGCCTCCGAGGCACCCAGGCTGCAGGCAGGCAGTTGGTCCACAGCCCACACGGCTGTGTTTTCATGCCGGGAGAGACGGCAGCTAACGTGGCTGAGTGCCCACGATGCCCGTGGCACTTGCTGGGTGCTTCAGAGGCTTTACGAGGAAAGCACCTCTCAGATCCGTAGTTGAAAGCTGCGTTTGGGATGTTGCCTCTATCGCTTTGGGCTCCTCAAGAATCAGTGTGTAGAAGTCGTCCCCTGCGTGACCACCACCTGTCCCCAAGGCCACAGACGTGTGTTAGACCGTGCCACCTCATCGGCGTCTGACTCACCTTCCAATGTGCATTGCAGGATCTCGGCGGCATCCACCCTGCCCAGACGCGAATACAAGCCGCGGCCCCTGAAGAGGAGTCCCAGTGAGCTCAACGGGGTGTCTGCCACCTCTGTAGCAAAGTCAACAGGTGAGCTGGCCGTTCCCTGAGCTGGGTGTTCCCTGCAGGCAGGCTCTGCTGGGAGCCTGTGCTCACACGACGTGTTCCTGTCGTCCCTGGAATACACTGAGACCCTGACTTTCTTTTCTGGTTGTTTGGCGAATCCCTTTTCCTCCTAATTATGCCCCTTTTCCTGCTTCCTGGTTTGGGGTGCTTACATCAGTTTTTGAAAACCAGCACCGGGAAGAATCCATCCCAATCGCCCTGCCCCATAGACCCATCGTGCCCCATTGACCTTTCTTCGTTTTCAGTCTTTCCATTTAGTCTATTCATTTTTAAAAAGTTCAAATTAGCATTTGTTGAGCATCTGCTGCGTCGTTATTTTTTTAAATTAGATGACGGACATATTTATGAATAAAGTGACCGAACTGCGCACAACAACATTCAGGAGCTGTAAATCATACTGTAGTTTCCTGTGATCTCTCACCCCACCCCAGTCCCTTCCGTGGACGTGGCCACGGTTAACAGTTTGCCGTGGGCTCTCTGTCCCATCTAGTTATGTGCACGCATACACGCACACACACACACACACACACACACACACACACGCTATATTCACACAGTTTCAGGTTATTTTCTGCTTTTCGAATACAAGATTATATTTGTAACTATCACTATTTCTTGGAGTTATTTCCATGCCATGCATATCTATCTATCCCACTGTATTTTAATGGCTTCCTATGCTAGAGAATATCCTGTATATGCTGATGGCCAAGTCTTTCTTGGAAACAACATTGCTGAGTTAGAGCGAATGCATATTTTAAATGATAGTAGATCAATATCTATTGCCAAGTTACTGCCCTGCCATGGGCACACTGCTACGCATGTAGTAATACCTCCTCCCCACCCCAAACCCATGCTGTTAGAGTTCAATTTTCGACAAGCATTCATGGATAAAAAAAATGGCATGCAATCTTATTTTGCTTTTCTGTGATAACTGGTGAGATTGAACATTTTTTTCTATTATTTCAATTTGCCATTTGTATCTTCTCATGTATGAACGGTCCGTTCATATAATTGATTCATTTTTTTTTGAGTAGTTTACTTTGTCTCATTGATTCATGAGAATTCCTTGCGCATGGGGAGATTAATAGTTTTTCCCCCAATTTGTTGTTGAGTTTTTAGCGTTCTTTATATATTCTAAATACAAGTCCTTTGACCTGGATGTGGTTTACAAATATTTTCTTCCACACGGGAACTTCTTTTTAGTCTCCTTCTGACGCTATTGACAGAGCAAAGGTTTTTAATTTTGATGAAGTCTAGTTTGTCGATATTTCCTTGTAAGATCATGCTGTTGACGTGAAGTCTCAGAATCCTTTGCCCGGCTCTAGACCTGGAATGTTTCCTCCTATGTTTTTTTTCCCCCCCCCCCAATAATTTTACTCTGGTACATTTTTACATTTCAGCCTATGACCCACTTAGAGTTCGTTTCTGTGTGAGTGTGAGACTTAGGTCGAGGTTCACCTATTTTGTCTGTCCGTGGATCTGCCCACGTAAACTGTGCGGTCTGAGTTTCCTTCCAACACGATTGCTGTTCGTTAATTTTTTTTTTTCCACAATTAAATATAAAAGTGATCGGAGTAACGTGTAAATGTAGGTTTAAAAAGAAAATGGCCCTACCAGGCTTTTCGTGGAGAACGTCACTCCACTCTAATCCATTTCCTCCCCACATCTTGGTTTCCTGCTCACTTTCATCTGTCAGCTCCTTGTTTGGCATTTACCTCCACGGCTCTCAATAATCCGCTCATATTGCCGTTTGTTGGTTTTCCAGTTTTGGGTAATATCTACTGAATTCCTACAATGGGAGATGAGGCCTTAGCTTTCTGTCTTCTCCTTCCCTCTGCCTTCCAGTTGCCTTATGATCACCGTTTTTGTTAAGTAAACATCGTGTAACCGTCTGTCCGTCGCTGTGATCATGCTGGTCTCTTGGAAAGCGTTTTTTCCTTCCTGGTGCTGCTTTCAATGTAGTCGCCTCTGCTTCTGGGTGAAGACGTGGACAGGCCCCTGACGTCTCTGGTTACCCTTGGGTGACGTGAGTTGTCCTGTCACTCGAGCCTGTAATGCGGGCTCTTTCTTAGATACGGCGCTTCAGACCTCTCTCAGTTTATGTCGGCTTCCTTGAGGGCACCTGAATCAACAGACTTGAGTGGGATGACAATGCCTTTAATCTTCACCGAGAATGGGCGCCTTTGTTTGCTTTCGAGAGGTCTCCGGCAAGGGTTTGGGATGGCCACCTGCTTATCTCTGGGGACGGAGAAGCAGTTAGCTTTTCTAATGTGCTGCCACCCAACTTCTGATTTTTCTCTCTTTCGTTTTTGCCTGCACACTGGGCACGTCTCCTCTTTCTTACGATAACTTGCTAGATGCACCAAAGAGTAGCTAACATTCTGTCTTGTCTATTCCTGAAAATACAGGAGAAGGAAATAATTTAAGCAAAGTGTAAAATCCTCTGTCTGTTGTCGCCCTATATCCAGAAAAACACAAAGTTATGGGGGGGGGGACCTCACGCCCAATATTTATTTATATATATTTGCCAATCGTTAGGGTAGTGGTTAAGTAGGTAAAGGTCTATCAGATGGAATATTATGTAGCTTTTCAAACTTATTAATGTGGAAGTTATGTAGAAACAAAAAAAACGTTGGTGGTCTGCTGGTGGTAAGTAGAGGAGGAAGATACAAAGTTGTAAGCAAACTGTGGTTACAGCTTTGTAAACCTAGAGCTGGGCGTGGAGCTGGTAGGGTTGTGGGCGGTATTTTTCTTCTTTCAAGGTGTTCTTTAAATTGCATTTCAATAAGAATACCTGACTGAGCAGAAAAATGTGTTTCATCATGGGAACATCGATGGCTCCTGAAGAACAGGTACACGTCCTTTAAGGACAGTGTGGACCCCATTATAGGCTTCGCTTCTCCCGGCCCCAGGGAGCTCAGTACCAGGCGTGATGTTCAGGCACGGCGACCCTTCAAGTGACTGCGGCTGCCGTGCGTGTCCCCTTCCCCTTTGACGAGGGTGACCTGCAGCCCCATTTGCTTGGGACAGCCCCAGTGTGTGTCTGTCGCTCTGGTCATTTTTTGATAGTGTCCCTCTCTTTCAAAAGCTCTTTTATTTGGATGAAAATATATTGTCTTGCTATTTTTTATGGCTTTTCTGTTTCTGGCCTGGAAAAAGTTTATTCTTAATACTATCGTAAGCCACTTCTAAATTTCAGTTTAGAAAGCACCTGATATAAGCTAACTAACTAACTAAAAACTTTGAAAATGAGTCCAGCTCCAGGCTCCCTCTCTCCCAGTATGTTGTATCTGAATGAAACAGAAGTAGCAGATCCCGGGACCCAGGGCTCCGTCCCTACCCACCTTCTCTGCCCTCCAGCCCGCATCCAAGTGTGTGTGGGGGGGTCTCGGAGACAGGACTTCAGGTCAGGCCCCTAAGACACCATGCTCTCCCCCGCTGTGAAGAGCTCAGCTTTTCTTTGACGAAGGTGTCTGTCTTTACTCTGGGTACACTAAATCTGACCTCAGGCAATGTGGAGAGTGCTGTACTCTATGAAAACGACCAAGCGTTTAAACCAAAGCACCACTTGAGGGCACAAGGGTGTAGCATTTGAGTAGCCGAAAATATGCCGGGCATTATTATTTGATGCTTTATATCCGTAACTCATTCCATTCTTGTACGGATGTTGCAAGAAAGTGATGAGACTATAAAATAAGACGGTGAAAAATCATAGCATGACAATTTAGCAGTCACAGTTGTTGATTCTTACTGCGGTTCAGGTCGTGTACTGACTGCTCCATACACATTTCCAGTACCGTTATCCTTCCCATTTTAACAGGAAGCGGAGGCTCAGAGAGCTCGAGATGTTTCTCAAGGTCACAGAGCCAGTAAGTAGCAGAGCCTGGCACTTTACCTCATTGATATTTCATGTCGTACCATTCAGAAGGAATACTAGAGGAACTTATAAAATGTTCAAGGGCCTCTGGAGTAAATTTATTTCTAACATTCTCGATCACAGGGAATCCACGGCCAGCAAGGGGTTTGCAAAAGGAGTCTGTTTTATGCATCAGACTCGGGAGAAGAAAATCCTGATAATACAGTGAGTTCTTTGGCTTCCTCATCCAGACTGTGCGTGTCAGTGCTTCGTCCCGTCCTTCTTGGCCAGGAGCTCAGTCGCTGGGCAGATTAAGTTGTTAGAAGGGCGATGGTCAGCCAGAGATCACAGATGTGCAGAGGATGGCTTTTAGGAAGGCTCCGTGCCCAATAACGAGCTCTCCACTGCCGCACGCTCTACCGTCAGCCACCGTCAGCCACCATCAGCCACCGTCAGCCACCGTTTGACAGTGGCCTGTCCCTCCTGTTTTCTCGGCTGCCTCTCCGACATTGCCCTTGGCGGAAACTTCAGTCCCCAATCCTAACGCTCGGCCTCGGGCTCCCTTGATTTGTGGGTGGAATTTGTGAGCGTAAAGGGGTCCGGGACTGTTTGTTTCGAAGGCACGGTTTCAAAAGAAAACGGCATTTTATGGCCCGCATTAATGGGAAATTACTTTCCATTAGGATTGTGAATGATTTGCACATAATGTTTATAAAGCGAAGGAAAAATGTCAAGCATTTCACTAACAATTTAAAGCAACGCTCGTAGCACTCTGCCAGAAATGAATTCCAAGAACATTTTCTTCACCGTTTCTTCTTTCTAAAGGAAAAAAAAAAAAAAGCAAGCGCGGGGGAGGGGTGGATGACAGGACGCAGGTCAATCAGGCAGAAGGCATCCTGGGGCCGAGATGGAACCTTCTGATAATACATTTCCAGGTACTTCAGAGAATGAACGGAATGAGCCAAAAGTGGAGAAAGGGCTGGGGAGTGGAAATCACATCTCGACATGATGGATTGCAGACGAAGTCCAAGTTCGGGCCCTGGCGAGGAGAAACCGCCGCCTATCCAAGCCCGCGAGTGTGGGGTCGTGACGCTCCATGAGCGCACGCTGGCCCTGTGTCCCTCAAGGAGAGAAGGAGGCCAGGAAAAGTCCTTGAACCGAATTGTGTGCCGGGATAGTTCCCAGAAAACCACTGGTTTTTCAGAAACTAGTACAAGGAACTGCTGCTTTATGCTTAAGTATCTTCCCTGCCCCGGGTCATTTTTATCAGGCCCCCAAGTTGTCACTTAGCGAATTATAAATTTAAAGACTAGAGGGCAAGGTATAGTTGCCAATTTATATCCGCTCAAGGATGTATGAAGATTATTATTTTTTTTCTCACTGAAGTTCTCAAAGAGGGTACCACTTTATGTAATCACACCTAAGGGTTAATATGCTCCAAACTGGGATCGGCTTTAAAAATGTGAAAGGCTGAGGTTAGGGAACGAATGGGGGGGGGGTCCCCAACGTATGCTCCAGGCGTTTCGGAGCGAGGCAAAATAAATCTCTCCAATGGCTCATAGAAAGACATTCTACCTCCCTTTAGGTATAAAGGAGACGTTTATAAGTTTCTCGATACTTCTAAGGGGGCTCAGAAATAAAGTCTAGAGCCTAAGTCATTCCCCTCGCTGGAGCCCAGTCTCTAGGATTACAGAGAAAATAAACAGATATTCAAAAGTGAAGTGTGAAGTTTGAAAATTAAAAGGGACAAGCACTTTGCAAATAGACATACGTGCATTTTTTTTTTTAACCTGAATTTCCGGAGGCAATTAAAATTGCTCAGAGCTGTGGCAATGGTGATTGCTCGGTCAGGAGACTGCTTCTCACTTTTTTCTTTTTCTCTCCCCACTGTTTTTTTTTTCCCCCCCTGCCATCCCTGCCCCCTGTACGTTTCTGTGTGTTATCAGTACTGGTTCAGAGTCAGCTATCGACACGAGAGAAGTATCAGGGAAACGGGAGTCCTGCAATGTAGTTCAAATTCTGACACTGACGAGCTGTGTGACTTCGGGTAAATTTCCTAACATCTCTGGACCGATTCGAACGTGTCCCTGAATGCGCTGATCAGTCTGAGTACAGTTCAGGGTTCTTTCCCAGCTCTTGTGAGCATCCTCAGAAATTTGAGAGTGGATCGCCTGAACATTCTCTATTTTCCATATTTTTAAAGCATATTTTAAGAAATAACATGGGAACGATGATGATTATTGTTTACCGGGAGCCATCGATACGGGAAAGGCGAAGAGAGGCCTTTTCTTGTTTTTCAATCCAAAGGATGCTTTAGAGACAGGTTTTTCTTGCTGCAAGGTTTTCTGTCCTTCTAAATAGTCACGTCCAAGGCCTTGACAAGTCCTGTTTTGAAAAGCCTGTAAGACGTAACTTCTAACTTAGCTGTGGGGATTTTAACACTACTTGGCCGAAATGGTGATAATCATATTGTCTCAGATGCTGCATATTTAAAAATCTTCATGTATACCCTACAATGATATATTTGGTCTTTAAGCTAAAATTTAAAATACCACCCTCTAAATATTAAACTGTTATTATTATTATTGTATATACGTACGTTTAAGAAAATAGCATAGAAGTTCGTTGTTTCTAGCGCTTACAAACAGGGCAGCCATGTACACAGCGGTGGAGGACTTTACCTTAGAATTCACACGAGTGACACCTCGGAGTTGTCCGGTGGGTGTGGCTCAGTTGCAACCTCGAATGCCAGATTTGGGGAATGACAGAGGGAGGTGTAAGAACTCAGAGTAAGGCCAGTGACAAATGGCTGACACCAGACCTCCAAGTCGGGTGGGCGCCAGGGAGAGGCAGGTCTGCAGCCAAGTGGAGAACACCTCCCTGTCTGGAGGTGACTGCCGGAGTCACCACGGCTGCTGCTTGCTGAGAACGTGGGCCCAGGAGAGCAGCTTTTCACATTTTTCAAGAAAAGCCAGAAACCATATATTTAGGTGCAGTCTCCTTATGTTTAAATATCGGTCACTAAAGCCACACTGTGCAAAGCAAGGAGCAGGCAGACTAAACACCGTGATCCTCTGCCAGTGGCCGCGAAGTCACCTCTCATTAAGGCCGCCATCTGTCTTCCCCCTTTTTCCTGAACTCAGAGTGACAGAGTTGTCCCACAAGCCCTGAACCTGGTGTGGTAGAGGGGTCACCTGCCAAGACCAATAAATGGACCCGGCTTCTGATGCATCTGCAGAAGCCACGTCAGTACAGAAGGTCCTCGAATCACGTTTCATTCAATGTTATGTCATTGTCTTGTTGATGAGATGCTCTTATTTATCACAGTTAGCCTGTGGCAAAATCAGTGTCATTATATGTCATTTCGCTCAGAGTCGCAGAGCCTGTCAGTGGCATAAGGGTGGCCTTGCTGTGTGTGAGTCAGGGCTTTGGGCAGTGAAGGGCACCGAGCTTCGAGATGGGTTCAGCCTGTCTCCTGTAACCTGTGTAAGCCGTGGAAGATCGGCATCAAGGTTAAAACACGATTGATTGTGACGATTAAGCGCACGTTCAGTTGACAAGTAATTTCAGTAAATCACATCTGTGAATAAGTAGAGGGTTCTTAGTAGTTTGTGATTTAACCGTCTCAGCCAGCTTAGGCTGCTGCCATGGAATAGACTTACATGGCATAACAACAGACATTTAGTTCTCACAGCTTTGAAGGCTGGCGAGTTCAAGATCAAGGTGCCAGTAGACTCAATGTCATGTGAGGGCCCACTTCCTGGTTAGCAGATGGCTGTCTTCTCCCTGGTCCTCACGTGGTGTCACTTTCTGACGTGTGATGGCTCCACCCTCGTGACCCAGTCATGTCCCAGAAGCTCCACCTCTAAATGCCATCGCATTGGGGATGGTACTTCGACATATGAGTTTTGGGGCGACACAGACATTCGGTCCACAGCCTGCAGTAACCATCGATGAGTACTTACATTTTGCAGATATGGAAATCAGGGCTCAGAGGTGACCCAGTCCAGAGCCAGAACCCAAGGAGCAGAAGTTTCTCTCCAATATGTTCTTACCAGCAGACAAAATACTGCTTTAGAGATGTTGAACAAAATGGTTTTTGTGGTATTTATCAGAATTACACACCGATGCCATTTCTGGATCCCTAGAGGGAACGTGTTAGCTTCAAAATTTCGCTATGAGAGCTTGAGGTTTTAAAGTGGAAAAAAGAAATGACAGCTTTTGGAGGAAGGGCACTTGAACCAGATAGACTTGTTCCAGTTCAGGGCCCACGGCATCGAATCGGCTGAGCTCGCGGCCTGGCCCCGGCCGCCACTCAGTGCTGGAGAGTGAGTCCCACGCACCAGAGGTAAACAGGGTGGTCCTGGTCGGTTTTCCTGCCCCACCTCTGTCAGGTGGCATGGGGACAGCCCCATGGCAGGGTGACGGTGGTGGCACAGAGCCTCCTGAAGGGCACCTGGGTCCCGATCCTGGTCGGGCCACCGTCCCACCTGTCATCGGGCACCTTCCTCTCTGCCCCCTGGCAGGCCCCTGGGTGGCATCGGTAACGAAGACATGTCCCCGAGCTTCCTGACTTCAGACCAGGAACTGAGCCGAGACAGTGTCACCCGCAGGCCTTCCCGTGAAGGAGGCTTTGGCGTCGGAGGGCGGCCCACGGCCTGGCTCCACACCTCTGGGCGTGGGAACCGTCAGCCGACCTCGCGGGGCTGTTCCGGGGGTGAGGTCGGCTCGTGTAGCCTAGAGGAGCGGGGTGCGGTGGTACCTGCTGCAGGGTGAGGACCCACCGCCCCGTGCTGCGATGTCACGTAACTGGTTATCTGGTTTCCCAGCCTACAGCCGACTGGAGGCAGCAGATTAGGAGGGACTCTTCGGGAAGGCCCGTGACAGCAGGAAAAAGGGACAGGTTGCAGCCCGACCGCAAGGGAGGCAAGAGAGACACTATTAAAAGCAGGAACAGACACCCAAAAAGGTACAGCAGTCCGGGGCATTTACTAAAAGGCACAGAGCCCTCTGCAGGTCAGTAGCTTCCGGGGGACGCCGTACCTCGTACCCTGACAGGGACTCGTGCTGACAGAGGTTGTGCAGGTATCTTATCTCCCACCTTCCTCCCTGCCCCCCCCAAAAAAAATCGGTATGCGTGTGTGTGGGGGGGCGTCTAGTTTGCATTGCAGTGGGGGCGCCCTGCCCAATTGCTTCTAGGCGGTGAGATCCCCTAGAATCAGGGCCAACTGGGCCGAAAGAGCAATGGGCTCCTATGGTGGTCTGAACATAGCCCAAGTTCAGGGACAGCAGGACACAGTAAGCCGTGAATCTTAGTGCTCCAGAGAGGAGGCTGTCCTCGCCCGGACCACTGTGTCCATCTCCATCTCCATCTCCATCTCCCCCGCCGAGTCAGAGGCAGAAAGGCAGCCCTGGAGAACAGACTCCCAGATCTGGCTGTGGGGCCGAGAGAGAGGGAGGAGGAGAGGCAGACAGACAGCCAGCCCACGAGAAGGCCAGGCCGCAGAGATGCCAGGCCCAGCAGCCGCAGGCTCCTCTCTGGTGTCTAATGTGCCACCTGGAGTGGACACCGTTTTTCTATATATATATGTATTTCTAATCGAAGCCTCGAGGTGCTCACTTTGAAGCAGGCGCTCAGGCTGAGGACGCAGGACTGAGAGTAAGTTCCCAAAGGACGTCCCTCAGGTGTCACTGGCAAGGTGAGGAGGAACCTGGCAGACCTTCCTGGGGCTCAGGAAGGGCATAGATGGAGGACACGTGCTCTCAGACAACCTCCTGAGGCCTGAGAGTGTCCAGGGCATGCCAAGCTGAGGACCCACGGGCTCGTTCCCAGCCCAGCTGACCGACCGCCCCCCGCCCCCTACCCCCCGGCGCTGGCTCAGAAGTCGAGTAGGGATAAACCCGCCAGCGAGGGATTTTCAGAGCGGGCCCCTGATGTGGACGGAGGCCTCTGTCGCTCCGTCGAGCCTCCACGTGCTTCGGTCTCCGTCCATCAGACTGGAGGAAAGGATGGCTCTGGATCGAGAGCCGCGCTGAGAATCAAACCCACCCGTATCTCTGAGGCACTTAGATCGGTGCACGTGGCAGACGCTGGAGCCCGGGGTGACGATTTCATTCCCATACTGACCGGGGGGGGGGGTGGGGGTGGGGGAGGGCTGTTGCTTTGCATCAGGGACCTGGGGGATGAAAAGGTGGGGTGGGGGAGGGATGTTTCTGCCGTTAAAATGAGAGGGAGCCTGATTTCCGGTCAGGATGGCGGAGTAAGTCGACTGTAACTGGAAAATAAAAAAAAAAAAGTCTTAAAGAAAATCAGAGGGACCCAATGTCGTTAGAAGCCGGACCGTGGGGTTGCCGAGAGGGAAGGGAGGTGTGTTTTAGGGAGAACGTGACTCCCCCACCTGCACGGACTGACCGGCCACCTTCAGTGGTGCGGAACTGGGCTTGGATAATGAACAGGTGCCAGGGGCGCTCCCTCTGCCCTGCGGAACCGTGGAAGATGGTGTTTCCCACCACCTGCTCTCACGTCGCGTCAGGCCTGGTCCCAGGAGGGGGAGAAAGTGAACGCAGGTCCCCCTGGCAGGCTGCACAGCCCGGGGCTGGGGTTCTGGCTGCTGTCGGCCGGCCGGCGGCGTGTGGCCGTTCCCGGGCGTTTCAGGTGCCAGCCGTGAACACGAGGCGGCACGGAGGCCGAGACGGTCCCCTGCATGGCACCTGCGTCCTTTGACGGGAAGGGAGCGGCGGAGGAACTGGCTTCGGGCCGTGGGAC